CTACCAGACCAAGCTCTAGGGGATTGTTTTAACCCATAGAGGGTCTTCTCAATTTACACACCTTATTACCTTTTGACTCAAAACCTGGAGGGACTTCCATGTAGATTTCCTCATCAAGATCGCCATGTAAGAAGACATTCTTGACATCATATTGTTGCATACTCCACTCACGATTGGCAGCTAGAGATAACAAGATCCTCACAATGTTCATTTTGACAACCGGGGCAAAGGTTTCAATATAGTCTATTCCGTAGGTTTGGGTATACCCTTGAGCCACCAACCTAGCCTTGTACCTTTCAAGTGACCCGTCTGCCTTATGCTTTACAGTGAAGACCCATCTACCTCCCACTGTTTGCTTTTCCTTAGGTAACTTAACTAATTCCCAAGTTTTATTTTTCTTAAGGGCATCCATCTCAACTTTCATAGCTTCCATCTATTCTTTATGACCTAATGCTTCAGAAACAGTTTTTGGGATGGTTATGGTGTTTAGGTGAGTAAGGAAGCTTTTATGATTGTTAGAAAACCTCTCATAAGACACAAAGTGGGATAATGGGTATAGTGGACGTTGGGTACACTTTCTCACACCTTTCCTAATAGCAATAGGAAGATCATAATCATTTCTATCTTCACCATCAAAAATTTCCTCAACATCATCAATACTATCATCAGTGCCAGGGTTTGGTTCTGATTGAAGGTCCTGCATAGGTTGAATAATGGGTTCTCTCCTTCTTCAATAGACTTGCAGTGGGTGAGTAGCACTTTGAATATATTTATCCTTTCCTATAGGACTTGGAGTGGCTGGATCTGTTTGATTAGAAGACTCATTTGACACAGATGGGGATGGGGAGAATGAAAGATCAAGTAAAAATAAATCTCTATCCTTATCTTCTATGAATGATGTCTTCCCCTGAAGATAGGTTTAGAAAAATAGATTTCATGTTCAGCAAATGTAACATCTGTGGAGACAAAAAAAAACTTTTTTGTGGGAGGATGGTAACATTTATATCCTTTTTGGGTAGAAGAATACCCAACAAAGAGACACTTAAGAGCTTTAGGATCAAGTTTACCCCTTTGATGAGAATAAATATGAATAAAGGACACACAACCAAAAACTTTAGGAGGTAGGTGGTTTGTGGTTCGAAAATCTGGGAAGAATGTTGAAAAAAGTTGCATAGGAGTTTTCTGATCAAGGACTTGAGAGGGTAATCTATTTATAAGATGAGCAGCAGTTAAAACAGCTTCCCCCCAGTAATGCTTTGGAAGATTAGTTTGGAATAGAAAGGCACGAGTAATTGCTAGAAGATGACCAATTTTCCTTTCTACCACCCCGTTTTGCTGTGGTGTATTAACACACGAAGACTCATGAATTATTTCTCTCTCTTGAAAGAATGGTGACAAGGTTTGATTGAAATAATCCCTAGCATTATCGGATCGTACCCTCTTAAGTTTTACCCCAAATTGATTTTTAATCATGTGAAAGAATGCTTGGAAGGTAGAGCTAACATCAGACTTATGTTTTAACAAGAAAACTCATGACACACGAGTGCAATCATCAAGAAACAACACAAACCAACAAGTCCTAGAAACATTTGAAACCATAGAAGGTCCCCAGACATCACTATGGATAAGAGCAAACAGAGTGGGCAGTCTTGTATTATTTATTGGAAAAGAAGTATGCTTGTGTTTTGCAAGCTCACAAACATCACAATGAAATATACCCATATCAATCCTGTTAAACAAATGTGGAAACATAATTTTAAGAACACTGAAAGAGGGATGATCTAAATGATGATGATACAACTAGATTTTGTTTTTATTTGAAAGAGATGACTCAGAAAGAAATGAGACAGGAAAATTATTCATAGTGCTGTTTTGCGCATTGAATTCTTCAAGATAGTAGAGTCCATGTTTCTTTCTAGCAAGTCCAATCATCTTCCACGTGCCTTGGTCCTGAAATTCACAATGTGTAGAAGAGAAGGTCATGGTACTATTCAAATCCTTTACAAGTTTATGAATTGAGACAAGGTTTACGGATAATTTCGGCACATGTAAAACATTCTTTAAAACAATTTTCAAATTGATAACAATATCTCCCTGACCATCTGTAGTAGATATCTTTTTATTACTCGGACAAGGATTGTAAGAGACAAATTCATGAGAAGACTTAGTCATATGATCTCTAGCCCCGGAATCAACTACCCATGAATCTTTTATGGGCATTTTCAAGACATTGGCCCTGTTTGGTAGAACTGTGGGAAAGTGCTTATAGCTTATGCCTTAACAACTTATAACTTATAACTATGAACATTAGCTGATTTCTAACTTATAAATTAAGCATCTCCTGCCCCACTCAAAGAATAAGCTGATTTCTGACTTACAAAAAGCTATAAGCTGCATTGTTAAGCTAAACCAAACACATCAAAATATTTTAAATTAAGCTGAAAGCTGAAATAAGCAGCTTTTAAGCTGCACCAAATAGGCACATTGAGAGTAAAGGATTGAGAGGCATTACTTGGATAAATTAAGGAACAAGTACCTGAGCCCGTAGGTTTTTCTAGAGTGCCCAGTAAATTTTTTAGTTTTTCAATCTCATCCATGTTGAACTTTGCTCGATTGTGGACAGAATCTATTTCGCCTCTTGGTTGGACCGTAGTCACATGTGCTTGTCCTTGTCCTTGTCCTCGTGCTGGTCCACTCTTTACTGTCCAATTTCTCTTGGTTGTTCGAGGATTTTGAAAATTTGCAGGCTTGCCATGAAGTTTTCAGCATTTTTTTCTGGTGTGTTTTGGCTTTTTGCAGAAAGTACACGCAATCGAATCCTTGTTTCCATTTTCAATTGTCAATTCATCAGAGTAAGAGCTTGGTGGATGATCTGCTCCCCTATTCCTTGCATTAGCACCCCTAACAACCATGGCAGAACCTTCCACAGATTGAGGCTCCAACATAACTCCTTTGCGACTTTCTTCTCCTCAGATTATTCCAATAGTCTCATTCAATGATGGAAACTCTTCTTTTCCAAGAACTTGAATTCTGACAGCATCAAACGCAGCGTTCAATCCAGCAAGGAAAATACCTCTTAAGAATGGTAGAGTCTTCACTGCACTTCATCTCAATACGTTGATACTGATCCAACTCTTGCCATAAGTTTTGCAAGATATTAGAGTGTTCAGTAATAGAACGGTTACCCTGTTTAGTGGCTGAAATTCTGGTCTTAATATCATAGACTTGTGCAGCATCACCCTTCGAATAAGTCTATTTACATGTGTCCTAGATGTCCTTTGCTATTTCCAAAAACATGCACGTATCACTCACTTTAGGTATCATCGAGTTCCATAGCCACGACATTACCATGGAATCAGCTTCATCCCAGGCATCAAACTTTGGATCTCCGGGTTTTGGTCGTGTTCCGAGAAGATGACTCAATTTGCCCTTTCCTTTAAGAAAGGTTCGAACAAATTGAGACCACTTGAGGTAGTTTTTTCCCATTCAACCAATAACTTGGTTGAATATTCTGCAAGTCTCCTATTGAAACCATGCTAGGAGTCTCGGTTGTCTCAATTTCAGATGGGTTCGAAGTTTGAGTTACTTCAGACATGATGATGTTGAAGATAAAAAATGGAATGAAAAAAAAGAATTTCTAGGCAAAGAGGTTCTACAATTGGCAATGAAGGCCTAAGAACGAAAGGTTGAAGGAACAACGAACTATGGCAATGCAGGCCACAAAAAGTTTTAGTTCCCAGAGAGCACAAGAGGCTCTGATACCATGATAAACAATGGGAATAATATTCATTACTTAGAAATATACATGGAAAGACTGTATATACAAATTATAGCTAGCTAATCCCTACAAATCAGGAATGAGATTCCTAGAATACAATTCCTATAAATCAGGGATATGACTAATCTAAATACAAATTCAAATATTCACAGCTCGGCCAGCTCACACACAAATCCAGCCTGGTTATCTTTGACAACTTAACTTAAGAGTGGTTTCTATATATTGAGTTAGTGTTAGTTTTTGCTAATTTTAATTGTTTGTGGATGTAGTATTAATCTGTGTAGTGAATAAAAATATATATTTTTTTATTGTTGTGGGCATTGTCCATGTCTCCATTTTTTTGAAATTATCATGTCTCGTGTGCATGCTTCGTAGGATTGTATTGTATATGCACAATAGATCATGAAGAGGTATGTTGTGTATTTGTTTTCTTCACCCGCATATATTTTTTTTAAATGTATTCATGTGATATGATTCCTGAAAATGTGTTGACTATATTTTTTTGCTACTTTAATTACAATACATATTTTTAATTGATTAATTGATTATAGAAAAAAGTGAAAGGTTAAAAGATAAATCGAGGGGGGGTGGGGGGATTTCAACTACCTTTTTTCTTTAAATCCAGAGGCAAAAATCCTATCTCTTCTGATCTTAGATTAAAAACTTGTTGCACTGATAGAAAAAGGTGTCGCTTAGTAGTTATTTATGTCAATAACAATGGTGATATAGTTGCAAAACTGCTATGTAAAACGACCACCTAGACTCCCCTTCTTTTACTATCTTCTCCATCCTTTCATGGTTTTGTTGCAAATTTACTAGGAAAACTGCTCGTCCATCGTCACATTATTCTCATTATGTCTTGGCTAGGTTGATATTGTAGCTGCTCATTATATTTGTGCATCTAGGCCAGGTTATTATTTTGTGGTGATTGAAAATTCAACAACTTTTATTTTGCTTTATACTCTCTAATGCTTTGAATTTGCTCTAACTTGATTCTTGTTGAGCAAAACAGTCAAATTCACTGTATATGATGTCTACTTCATTTTCCATGTAATGTGTACTATCAGAAAGCAACAATAATTTTGTTACCTGGTACGACAATGATTGTTTATTATGGATCCCACCATGACTCGTACTCCATCTACTTAAAATGCGACAAACTAGAGTATAAGATCTCTGCTCATAGTGTCCAAGCTTTGATGATTAGATTTTCTCTATGCAGGATGATGCATCGGCTACCTGCTTTCTGCTTCATTGTCAAAAATTTATTGAATTGGTTCGGGTAAATGGTTCTTTCCTGTTTTATTTTGCTTACCAGTGGCAATATATGCAGAATTTCTAGTTAAATAGTTTTGTGTATTGAAGGTTATTGCTTCTCTTTTGAAGGAATTAACAATAAATATGAAGAGGCATACCTCTATGTCTATTGAATAATTTTATAACAAATACAAATATAAAAAAAAGAAAAGAAAAGAAAGAAGAGGCTTGGAACAATTATAAGAGTTTGATTTATCCATATTTCATCTGCAGGCTGGAAGGCTTGAGGAAGCTGTGGCATATGGAAGGATGAAATTTGATAAATTTTATAGACTGAATGAATATGAAGAGCTAGTTAAGGTAGTGAACTTTTCTTGGTTTGCATCACAAAAGGTCTTCTGCTTTACAGTTTCAGTGTTATTTACATACATCACAATTTTAGCTAATTACTGCTAGGAAATTCATTATATTTATTGATAGAAAAAGGTAATCTCCAATTTTTTAAATTCTCTTTAGTTCATCCCTATGCATTTATCTAATGAATGAATCTCAAATTCATCCTTTAATTTTTCCTTTTCATATCTAGTATTCCCTTCTGTTTCCTAGCATTTTGATCTTTCCTGAAGATACTTCCCTTTTTAACTCTTCAATTATGGAAATTGCGAACCCTAAATTTGTCACTATGATTATAATTTCCGGATTTTGATCCTCTCATTTCTGGAAGGAAATGGAGAACTCCATTTCAATGCATGAGGTTGTAAGTTGTGTAACACATCATCACAACCCAAATTCAATCGTAATTGCCATGTCATTATAAATTTTAGAACCTCCCTTAACAATATTTTAATTTAAAATAAATATTTGTTGATGTGACTATTTTACAACCATTGATCTTGAATATTTTGTTCTCCATTTCCAGGATGGAATGAAAATCTCTTATCTCATTTCATATGATTGCAACACAATCAAAATTTAAAATTAAAGATTTTGATGACATGGATCTTTCACAACCATTGATCATCAAATGAAAATCTCCATCGTTGAAATGGAGAGGATCTGGATTTGATCTTGAAATGGAACCCACAATTTCCCACCAAAAATATAGAGGATCCAAATCCCACCCTGATCCTCCAAATTTAAAACTTGATGTCTACTGTTTGATAGAATGCAAAATAGGTTTCTGCCTAGAATTGCAGTTCTATCGTGTCTGTCTCTCCTTGGAATTAGTGGGGATGTGTAGTATGTTTTCTAAATTCATCTTTGAACGACGCTAGCATCTTTTTGAACAGTGAAAAGTTTAGATCAAAATCCTTATGAAGAATGAACTCTATTTTGTAGGACTGTGCTGCTTTGTTGGCATATGAACAACCACAGAATTCCTCGGTTGGTTATCTCCTTGAGGAGTCACAACGAGAGATGGTGGCTGATACTGTCAATGCAATGGTCTTGTCTACGAATCCTAACGTGAAAGATTCACAGGGTTGCTTGCATTCATATCTTGAGAGATTACTCAGACAACTGACTGCTTGCTACTTGGAGAGGAGGTCCTTGAATGGGGATCAAGGCGAGGCTTTCCATCTGCGCAAGGTACTTAACAGCGGTAAGAAGGATTAGCTTTAGCTGAGAAATTATTTTCTCCCTCATCTCTCACCTTGTTCATATATGTCCGGCCCTACTGTGTTTCATGAACCACATAGAAGTGATAAAGAGATTGTTCTTCTTGTTCCGTATACTGAGCAGAGGACCCCTGCTTGATTGGTATTCGTGATATTTGTTCCCTTTGGTAAATTGGGGTGTTCTCTATCCTCTCGTATAAGTTGTAACCTCATGAACTCAACCTTGAATGAAATTTAGTAGTTGAACTGAATCATAGTGCACAGGTAATATGGTTATATCTTACCAACTAGTTTGGTACTTAAGTTGTTTTGTCTCTCATAGTTCATTCCATTGGGTTGGAGAGTGATTTGATACATATTGAACTGAATGATGATTCACTTTTTTGATGAGAGTGCATCTAGCTCCTCCATAAGATGGCTTTTGAGATAAAACTGCTTCATTGGCGCTGGTATGATGGATGGATGTTTTTCGTTTTTGTCGTTATTGAAGTAATGAACTATCGACTGTCGGAGTGTTATCATGCAAAGCTCGTGCACTTAACAATCCTTGATTACTGATTATCTCCACTTTTGGTATGGCTCTTTGGTTGGCTAGCTGGTTGTGCTTGCAACCGTCGTATAAATTGATCTCTTTGAATGGAGATTTTGATCATGAATACTTGAATCGATGTGCTAAGACCATCTTTTGTAGGTTTGGATATATTTAGGCAAATGCCAACTTTTTTTATACTAAATAATTAAGTGAAGGAAAGGGAAAGTCAATGGGAAAGAGCCATGAGCAGCTTCATGTTCCAACCAATTTGGCCAACCTTTTGGGAGTGAAAATAATATTTTAGATGATTCACTGGTGGTGAGAGTGAAAATACTTCATATCCAAAGTATTTTAAATAATTGGGCCATTGGATGGCAAAATTCGTTGTTTTATTACTTTTGGCAGATTCAACTTAAAAGACCCTTGTTCAATTAGAGACAATCCAATGTGAAAAACTTGCCACTTTGTCGTGACCTAAAGCCGACTCAGTGTCAGTTAATTTTGACAAGCCTTTACCCCTCTCTAAAATATCAAATTTTGTACTTTCAACTCAAATTTAACCATTTTTATAATTTTTTTTGTTTGCCTTTAATTTCTTCACAATTTAACCTAGTTTAGATCTACATTTGGGATTAGGGTTTCTTTCCATTATGAATATGTTGTAAGCTTTTGTAACAAATCAATTTTGGGTATTAATCAACTTGTTTGGTTTCGTTTTTTTGAAAATAATTTTCAAAAAATTCTACTTTCTTGTTTTTCGTATTTTTTTGTTTTTACTGATTTTTTTAATATTTTAAACAATTTTTTTTTTAATTTTTAGACACACTTAACATAAATACACATAAAAAGTATATATTCAATGAAAAAATCTTTTAAAAATTCAATAAATATAAAAAATACATAAAAAATAATAATAAAAATTTAGTATATTTTTATGTATTTATTAATTTTTTAAAATATTTTTTCATAATTTTTTTTACTTTTTAGATACATCTAAGTAAAGTGTATCTAAAAAAGTAAAAAAATATTTAAAATTTTAAAAATATTCACTAAAAACAAAAAACTCAATGCTCAAAAAACTAATCCATAAAATTCAAACCAAACACGTTGAATAGAATTTCTATGAAGTTTTTCTTTTCTTTCAACACACTTGCTATTTTTCAGAATCAACGAAGTTAATGACGTCCTTATCTCTTGTATTCCTAAAAAAATCAACAGATTCAAACATAAACAAAATTTACCAAGTTATTTAACAACATAAATTATTTAACAAGTGCCATGTTCCTGATGCTTTATTTACAAGTATATAACTAGCTAAATGAATAATTCATTTTAACCAAAAATAAATAAATAAATAAGTTTTACTAGATGATACTAGTGAACTAGTTGGGGCAAGTTGAGTAATGCAATTCATAAAAGTTAAGTCAGGTGGAAATCTCAAAATGTCAGTAGAAGCAAATGAACTGCAAAACATACAATTGAATCTATTGACTCTTGTTTCTACTTTTCATTCCAACTACTAGCACCAAATACAATCTCTATAGCTATGAAGGCCAAAAATAAAAGGAAAGGAAAGAAAAGAAAAGAAAAACATAATATTAACACATGAAACGGAAAAATAAGAAACTAAAAAAAATAAAAAATGACTAGTTCAAGATATGCATGACACTGCTAAGGTAAGCCCTATATAGAACAAAATTATCCCCAAGTGTCTCTGCAGCCTGCCGCCTGATTATGCATGCTCTATACTGTCTTACTCAAAATACATGGAAGATGAAAGCAATGACACATTGGCCAAAACAATGTCATACTAATCCCGTAGCGTCTTGTTAGTTAACAAGACTCCAAAAAAGCAATTGTCAACCATGTCTGGCAAGCGCACGAGTCCTATATGTCAGGTCCTGTAAGCCAAAGAAATCAAATTTCAAAATGATGTAATTATTGTCATCCAATTTTGCTGATTTACCGTAAGGAAATAACAGGAAGTGACTAACCATGGCAGCCATAGGGCAAATAGATCCAGTTGTCGAATCAATTCTGTTTAGTTTGTTTTGGCAGTAGTTGTGGTATTCCGGCCAAACTGGATGATCATTGGCTTCCCTTTGAACACGTACCCATTCACTAGATTCTGCAAACAAGAATTTTGCTAACATAAACAATGAGCTCTATAGCGCTAATTCAACCTTTTGGGAGTGAAAATAATATTTTAGATGATTCACTGGTGGTGAGAGTGAAAATACTTCATATCCAAAGTATTTTAAATAATTGGACCATTGGATGGCAAAATTTGTTGTTTTATTACTTTTGGCAGATTCAACTTGAAAGATCCTTGTTCAATTAGAGACAATTCAATGTGAAAAACTTGCCACTTTGGTCCTGTTTGGTAGAGTTGTAAAAAAGTGCTTATAGTTTATACCTTAACAACTTATAGCTTATAATTATGAACATAAGCTAATTTATGACTTATAAATTAAGTTTTTCCTGCTCCACTCAAAGAATAAGTTGATTTCTGACTTACAAAAAGTTATAAGTTGTATTGTTAAGCTAAATCAAACACATCAAAATAATTTAAATTAAGTTGAAAGCTGAAATAAGTTGAAATTAAGCTGTACCAAACAGGGCTTTTGTTGTGACCTAAAGCCGACTCAGTGTCAGTTAATTTTGACAAGCCTTTACCCCTCTCTAAAATATCAAATTTTGTACTTTCAACTCAAATTTAACCATTTTTATAATTTTTTTTGTTTGCCTTTAATTTCTTCACAATTTAACCTAGTTTAGATCTACATTTGGGATTAGGATTTCTTTCCATTATGAATATGTTGTAAGCTTTTGTAACAAATCAATTTTGGGTATTAATCAACTTGTTTGGTTTCGTTTTTTTGAAAATAATTTTCAAAAAATTCTACTTTCTTGTTTTTCGTATTTTTTTGTTTTTACTGATTTTTTTAATATTTTAAACAATTTTTTTTTTAATTTTTAGACACACTTAACATAAATACACATAAAAAGTATATATTCAATGAAAAAATCTTTTAAAAATTCAATAAAATACCAAAAATATAAAAAAAAAAATAAAAATAAAAATTTAATATATTTTTTATATTTTTATGTATTTGTTAATTTTTTAAAATATTTTTTCATAATTTTTTTTACTTTTTAAATACATCTAAGTAAGGTGTATCTAAAAAAAATAAAAAAATACTTAAAATTTTAAAAATATTCACTAAAAACAAAAAATCACTAAAAACAAAAAACTCAATGCTCAAAAAACTAATCCATAAAATTCAAACCAAACACGTTGAATAGAATTTCTATGAAGTTTTTCTTTTCTTTCAACACACTTGTTATTTTTCAGAATCAACGAAGTTAATGACGTCCTTATCTCTTGTATTCCTAAAAAAATCAACAGATTCAAACATAAACAAAATTTACCAAGTTATTTAACAACATAAATTATTTAACAAGTGCCATGTTCCTGATGCTTTATTTACAAGTATATAACTAGCTAAATGAATAATTCATTTTAACCAAAAATAAATAAATAAATAAGTTTTACTAGATGATACTAGTGAACTAGTTGGGGCAAGTTGAGTAATGCAATTCATAAAGTTAAGTCAGGCGGAAATCTCAAAATGTCAGTAGAAGCAAATGAACTGCAAAACATACAATTGAATCTATTGACTCTTGTTTCTACATCTTTTCATTCCAACTACTAGCACCAAATACAATCTCTATAGCTATGAAGGCCAAAAATAAAAGGAAAGAAAAGAAAAGAAAAGAAAAACATAATATTAACACATGAAACGGAAAAATAAGAAACTAAAAAAAATAAAAAATGACTAGTTCAAGATATGCATGACACTGCTAAGGTAAGCCCTATATAGAACAAAATTATCCCCAAGTGTCTCTGCAGCCTGCCGCCTGATTATGCATGCTCTATACTGTCTTACTCAAAATACATGGAAGATGAAAGCAATGACACATTGGCCAAAACAATGTCATACTAATCCCGTAGCGTCTTGTTAGTTAACAAGACTCCAAAAAAGCAATTGTCAACCATGTCTGGCAAGCGCACGAGTCCTATATGTCAGGTCCTGTAAGCCAAAGAAATCAAATTTCAAAATGATGTAATTATTGTCATCCAATTTTGCTGATTTACCGTAAGGAAATAACAGGAAGTGACTAACCATGGCAGCCATAGGGCAAATAGATCCAGTTGTCAAATCAATTCTGTTTAGTTTGTTTTGGCAGTAGTTGTGGTATTCCGGCCAAACTGGATGATCATTGGCTTCCCTTTGAACACGTACCCATTCACTAGATTCTGCAAACAAGAATTTTGCTAACATAAACAATGAGCTCTATAGCGCTAATTCAGCACATTGGAGGGGAAAATTTCAGGTAAGAGGAAAATAAAAGAATGCGGATCAACTCAAGGAAAAGAGAAAAAGATATGATGGAGACATAGCACCAAATAGTTGGGAGCTAAGAAATTTTATGTTTGTGCAAAATTTTTTCATGCGGATCAACTCCAGTGAACTGCATGCCATCACTTATTGCAACGATAAGATCTTGCCAGCTTAAAAATGTAGCCTACCCAAATACTTCGGATCAAAGATTTGTGGAGGGAGAAGAAACAAATAGGGAAAAGAAATTACTCATGACTATTCCATTTTCTATGGGTAGCCAAAAACAAAGATAAATTCTTTACGAAATGCCTATAATTTCCTTTCATTTTCCCCACCCAACCAAACAAAAACAAGAATTTTTTATATTCTCATTCCCTTTTCCTTTCCTTCATGTTTCCCTGAGAAATCCAAAACCAAACTGAATATTAAATGACAGATATAATAACATAAAAGCAGTGCAGTTCATCACAACACATTTGTCGGGAGGACACAGATATTGCAGCTTTCAAATAGTTATTAAGATGCATTGTTCACTGGCTCTGAGGGATTTTAACCCAAAATCATCATATGAAAAACATACCAACGCATGATGAGCAAGTTCAATGGATGGAAATGTCACAAAAGCTTGTCCCCTCATTCGTCCCTCCTGGAATCCAAAAGGTTACAAATTATAATTACTTTCATGATTCAAACTGAAGCCACCATGGCACTTCAATCAGAAATTCTGGATGCAAATGAGGAACAATCAAGGAACTATAATCAAAAGTCAACATGATCAGATCATGCCCTTAAGTTCAGGTTGATTAAAAGAATTTTCCCCAGAGAAGAAATCTTTCTTAATATTTACAGAGACGCGCTAAAAAATGATAATTTTGACAGTAAACTCACTACGTAAATCAAGCCACCCAGAATACCATCTAGAGAGAATGTTCGAAACCTTTTTAGATTTTTCCATTTTTAATAAAAAAATTTAATTAACAAAAAATTTTCTATCTCAGGATGGTAATGTACATGGATTGTCACATAATATAATCCCATTAAATTATTTGCAAAACACCACAAAGCAAACTTAGGCAAGTACATATGATCAGACTGCCCTTCCCTAGCTTCTCCATGTTTCCTCTTCCGCTCTTTCCATCTTTTCCATGTCTAATTCCTCTTAAGAACTTCAAAAGAGAATTCTTATTAAGCAAGGATTTAGAATCAAGAAAATAAACAAGAATTCTAACCTGCATCAGTTTAACACTTAGACTAGATTTAGCTGCATCAATGCTTTCGAATAGCGATCCTACAACACAATCAGCGAGATAAGATAAAACAAAATTGTCATCAGGATAAACATGTTAAGAGAAAAGTCGGTACTTCAGAAACAAGAACAGTTCTCTAAATAAGTAAAATGTAAAAAGCACTTTGATAAGCATAAAAGTTGACGCACAGAAGTTACTGGATTAGCAGAGAGATTGATAAAGAGCAGGTTTTCAGCTCACCGAATATGAAATAAAAGTCGTCAACAACCACATCTTTTGCCAAGTTCTTTACGTACAACACAGAAGCAGGATTCCCAGCCATATAATTCTGCATAAATTTTAAGAGTACTAGTAATTGAGTGTATATTATTTGCATCTTACTGAATCATGTTTAAAATATACATCCTTTATGATTCATAATTCTGTGGATGCATATGAATTAGCTGGTAAAGGCATATTTATACAAACTCAAGAAGTAAATCAAGCCACCCCATCACAGATGCATGGAGTATGAAAAGTGTTGTGAAAATGAAATTTTATTGCCTACACAAACTAGGGATGGCAACAGGCATTTATAAGACAGGGCCCCTGATGGGAAACGTAAAGGAGTTTTTTTTTGGTTAAGTAAGTCATATTATAACCAAAAAAGATAGATATACAATGAAGTTCAATACACATCTTTTGTAGGGAGAACAAACATAAACAAAGAAATAAACTACTCTCTCAAAAGAAACAAACTAAGCCTATAGACGACAAGCACACCAAACACAACAAAGGATTCAAAAATTTTTTCTAGCACTCTTCAAGTTATGAAGTTTCGCTTTAAGTTTTTTTCTGTTATCCTCCTTTGCAGTCTCCTCATTAATGGGATCACTTGGAGATGGACCCCCTCTACTTTGTAGGCTCTTTGTTTGACACAACTCCTCTTGATTTAATTCTCCATTTCCCAACTCTCCCATATCACATGATTCAAGGACATCAAAAGCATTAGATGTTGATGGGGTGAAACGCTGCGTCTCTTCCTCTTTGTTTATCACTGTCGTTGAACCTTACCCACCATCTCTCGCTTTTTTCTTCACCACTTCCCATTTAGTTGGAACTTGTATGTTAGTCTCCTTGACTCTCCACTCTTGTTTGGAAAATGGCGGGTTCAAGGTCTTTGGCTTCTGAGGACACAAACTAGTGGTATAACAAAAAATCTTACAACCATCACACCTTTGAGGCTTCCATGGAACCTTAACTTGAATCTCATATGGGTCACCATAACCAAGATTTATTTTGAAAGACTCAGGGATCTCTTTATTTTGCAGTCTCCTCATTAATGGGATCACTTGGAGATGGACCCCCTCTACTTTGTAGGCTCTTTGTTTGACACAACTCCTCTTGATTTAATTCTCCATTTCCCAACTCTCCCATATCACATGATTCAAGGACATCAAAAGCATTAGATGTTGATGGGGTGAAACGCTGCGTCTCTTCCTCTTTGTTTATCACTGTCGTTGAACCTTACCCACCATCTCTCGCTTTTTTCTTCACCACTTCCCATTTAGTTGGAACTTGTATGTTAGTCTCCTTGACTCTCCACTCTTGTTTGGAAAATGGCGGGTTCAAGGTCTTTGGCTTCTGAGGACACAAATTAGTGGTATGACCAAAAGTCTTACAACCATTACACCTTTGAGGCTTCCATGGAACCTCAACTTGAATCTCATATGGGTCACCATAACCAAGATTTATTTTGAAAGACTCAGGAATCTCTTTATTTGCTGGCACTTCAATACACATTCTCGCAAACGTAAGTCTGCTTCTCTTGAACATAGGCTCATCCAAATAAAGAGGAGTTCCCATGATGCTAGCAATATAACCCAAACCTTCTTCAGTCCAAAGCTCCAAAGGAACATTATACAACTTCACCCACAGCGGCACACTTGAAAATTCACACTTTGTTAGTTTTAGTCCAGGTTGCCATTTTTTAACAACAATCAATCTAACTCCAACGTAATAGGGGCCATCTTCCAAAATTTTGTCTATAGCCTCTTCACTTTTTACTTTAAAAATAAAAAAACCCATTATCAATGGAGACAACATCCTCAAGCAAATTTTTCCAAAGTTTCTCTGCCCAAGTTTTCACATAATGGAAAGAGAATCTTTTATCAATGAAGTATCCAACCAAGGCATTTTCCCAATGTGAGAAGCCTTTTTTTGAGATCTCTATATGGACATTGTACATGCCATCTATTAGGTTCTCAATCTCATGGGCACCTATTTTATACTTCATTTTTGAAATCTTCATTTTTGACTAGGTTCTCAATCTCTTTATACTTCATTTTTGACACCTTGTTAATCTCTTCTTTAAGTAAAGAGCTCCAAGCTTGTAGAGGCTTACCTGATATAGCAGTTGTATCACCATCAAGACATTCACCCTTGCCAGATTGTGTGTCTTCCATATGTAGTTCAATGAAATCTTCATTACTACAAGCTTGCACATTTTCAACACTCTTCCAGTGCTTGGTACCAATTACTTCTCTCCTTTGATCAGCACTGGGTGAGCCAAATTATCAGCACTGGGTAAGCCAAGTTTATTTGACATTATCATTTCATTTGTCGCCAGTGGGGAAACAATGGCCAATTTTGGCCACTGCTCAAGATCAATTAGCACTCTAGTTGGTGTGTTCCATGCATTAGGTGTTTGGTGCTACTTTGATGATTATTTAGTTGAGACTTGCATTTCCACATTCATTTGCAACCATGGTGTACCAAGATTTCCACACAAACATAGATCGATATAATCACACTCGATTGAGCTATCCTCCGATTCTACATCCCTTAATCCCCTTTTGTTTTCATTCGAGGGCCCTTGCCATAGTCCCACAAAATCTCCAAATATGAGAGATTTGGGGGCTACTCGGATGCGTGTAGACCTACGGGGGAGTACAGCAGGCATCTCATCGATAGATATTTGAGCATCCACCTGATTATCAAACTTCTTCAAGGAGACCTTGGTTGATTTGCACTTAACAGATTTACATTTTGATTTACTCTTGGCTAATTTGCTCTTAGCTAGTTTGCCCTTCTTCATTGATTGCTTGTTGCCCTCTATGTCTCTCTCTTTGTCCCCCTGTCTCTCTCTCTCTTTCTCCTTAATCATCTTATGACTTCTCAATAACAGAAGTCCACTTAGGCATTTTGTCGAATAGGTGGAAGGCAAGGCCAGCAAACACTCAGGTTTTGCTCCGGTTGCACAGGAAACTCTCCACCTTAATGCACCATTAACTTAGAAGATGAGAGGGGAGATCGGGAGCAGAGTGGGTACTGCGGAGAACTTCGCCGAATCGCTGAATAGAGATCAGAGACGACTGAAGCAATCGCGAATGTGAGAGAGAGGCAAGGTTGCTCTTCACTTCACTCCTTGGCAATGGCGGTACGCAGCTGCGAACGAGCAAGGTTGCTCTTGCTCTCTGCTTCTCTCTCTCTCTCTCTCTCTCTCACTCTCGCGTTCGCGTTCGTGTTCGTGTTCTCCGTGAGTGGCTTTGATAAACAGAAAATTGATGATTTTGTAAATTTTATTTATTTAGGAATTTTAGTTATTTAAGAAATTTTAGTAACGTTGGGAATTTTTTTTCCTTGTGGGATCGCTCTTTAGTTTAGTAGTCTAAAAATAGGTCTTTAATTTATCATACTTAAATCACTAGAGTATGATATGGTTTTGAATAGTCAGATATTAACTTGTGATTGGTTCCCTGTTTCCACTCCTTTGTTCTCTTTTTCTCTTCTTGGTGCTACATTAGCCCCCCTATCCTGACCTGGCCCTCCATGGGACAAAACTCCTACCCCATCCACATCCTATAACCATGATATTCTAATGTTCCACCATTTCTGACCCTAAAATTCCCCATCAGTCGCATCCCTTCAACATAGATCTAAAAGAAGCAGATTTTTAGGGACAAGATCAAAAAGCAAAAGAGGAAGACAAGATAATGATAAAAATAATAAATTTAAGGACTTGGAAAGAGAAGATATAGTTGCCTACTCAAACCATACAGGAACAATGGCAATGAAAGAACAAGACTCAGTTGTGCAAGTTGACACACATTCTAGTACGAGTGTAGTAATATAACAGCACCATCCACACAAGGAGCTAAGAACCAACACGAGTATCCAAATTATATCCACAATGTTGAAAATAGTGTCAAGGGATGACTTTATTCTCTGCCTTTATTATCTGCCAAAGAACCAACTTAGTAATTCTTGCTTCGAGTCATGAGCTGGCATTTCCAGGCCCTCAAAAGAAAGAATGACCATTGCTCTCCTTTTGAATGCACAAAGCAGGCCCCATTCCACATTTTATGCCACCTTCCAACTGCCTGCCCCCTCTTCAAGCATTGAATAAATTAACCGCTAACCTTGTAGACACGCAACAAACCCCAACAAAAATCTAAGATAATGACTAGATCACTAACCACACTACAGCAAATGACTAGGTGACTGCCTCTTTATCTTCGTAACACATGCAAAACTTCAATTGCAATAAATATTCCTCTTTAGTTGCCAACTTGCCACATTGTAACTTGTAAGTGCTTTTCTCCCCGAAGTACAAAATATTTGATACCTTGACATGGACTAGTTAACATTCCTACTAATTCCATTGTTTTTCCTGTATTCCACGTTGCTAATCTAAACCTAGCATCTTTACTTACGTGCATCAAGAGAAGCGCAGGGACTCTTATAAACTTATTATACTGGAAAAGATAGACATAGAAATAGTGTAGGAACAATAGTAGCTAAACACCTTAAAGATATTGCTAACAATATGAGGAAAGGAAATATAGTAATGCTAATGAAACTCGTAGTTGGAGAAAATATAATTAATGTGGTTAGTGCCAATGTAGGCAAACAAGATTGGATGAACATATTAAAGGAAAATGATGGGATTAAATAGATAAGTTAATACAAGAGATACCTATAGGAGCGAAGATAATTATAGATAAAGATTTCGATTGTCATGTAAGAAAAGATACGCAAGGGTAAGATGTAAGAGAGCATGTATGATGGATACAGTTCTTTTGACCAAAACAAGGTTGACGAGGGTATTTTAGATTTTGCAGTACCATTCAATCTTAATATAATCGACACTTCCTTTAAAAAGAGAGAGGAGCACTTACATGAAGTGGGTAAAATAGACTATTTAATTGTATTAAAAGCACACCATTTAACATGTGAAGAATAATTATAAAACTTTGAGAAGTGACAAAATGACCAAAAAAAAAGAAAAAAAAAAGATTAAAAAAATTGAAAGATATAAATGAGCTAACAAGGAGGTTAAAAGGACAGTTGAGAGATGCTAAGTTGAAAACCTATGCTGATCTGTTTACCAGATTAGATAGTAAAGGTTGAGAAAAGAATATTTACAAAGTTTCTAAGTTGCTAAGTTGAGAGAGAAAAACAAGAGATTTTAATTAGGTTAATTGTATGAAGTGTGAGGATATGATGGCGTTATTTAAGACTTGTTTTGAGAAACTGTTAAATTAAGAATATTTAGAAAGTTTAGGAGGAGAGGAATACAGTAGCCTTGATGGAATTAGATAATACTATTTTTATCATAGAATGAGGAAGTTTGAGGTGGAAATTGCACTAGAGAAGATGAAATTAGGTAAGGCTTTAGGACCAAATGGTATGCCTATTTTGGCTTGGATATGTTTAGGTTAGGAAGGGATGTCTTAGTTAACAACATTATTTTATAAGACTACACAGCTTAAAACCTACTTTCTTAGCATGGAGTCTTAGACCCTTCTATTCCTGAATAAGTGTTATGCCGGCTTAGGCCCCCACTGTAGCCAAAAAAAAAAAAAAGGCATAATAGAATAGGATTTCAATAAACTTCCATGATCTAAGGCAACCTTTAAATTGGGTGACATTTAAGTGATATTTATGACATTACCATAAATTGACATATTCCTAGAGATAATTTAACAAAATATAATAATCTTATTTACCCCAAAACAGCCAGTATTTTCAAGGGAGCACAAGTCTTCCAATTTCATATAACCTCCCTCTAAAATATATCTATCCTATTAGGATAACTGTTATCATATAAAAATGTGCGATAGAAAATTTTATATTCAGTTAAAAGTAAATTACAATGGTACAGATTCTCATAAAAGAAGTAACAGGTCAACATGTAGATACCGAATACTGATGAAGAAAAAAAGTTTAACATGAAAACCTTCTAATCAGAAAAATACATTACAACTGAAGTACGAAACACAACAAATGCTATCAATTTCCTTCTTAGAAAATAATATAAAAGGAGAAACTATATCAAAATATTAATGTCACAACAAACTATATCAAGATCTTACCATCACACATACATAGGTTTGTCAATACATGCATGTGTTAACATGACAACTTGTGGATAAACATGATTAACAAGCCAGCACATGAAATGAGTTAGGTTTATTGAATCATTAAATTTGATTCTTGCCTACCTTAAACATTGGAAGTGATAAGATTTCCTCTGGAGGCAACTTTCCACTCTTCAATTCTTCTGGTGTTGCATAAGGTCTAAAATCTAAATTCTCTTTATCTGGCTCCATTGATTCTTTCTCCATGTCAATTTCTGTTTGCTCACTTTGGACTTGTTTAGGCATAATTTTGATCTGCAATCAAAATCAAGATCCACACATCAATTAGTTTCAATAGAGAGAAAAATCCTATGACTGTTCATCCAGAAAGAACAGCAGTGACCTGTAACACAGGGTTCTTCTTTTTTATCATTGGGATCTCTTTTGGGACCAAGTTGGCAGGTTTCAATCCAACAGCCTCGTGAGCCACATATTTATCCACTGCAGGCCCTACAATAGCTTCTCGCTTGATGCGCTTTCGTTTAGGTCTTGCTACCTGTGGAACCCCAATGGGATGGGTCTTGCCATCAACTTCCTAAAAGACAATTTAATATCAAAACAATTAGAATCTGGTTTAAAAAAAAAAAGAAAAAAAAAAAAAAGAAAAAAGAAAAAGACATGCAAAAGTTAACAAAGAAAAGAATACTGCACAGAAATGAATCTTTAACATTGATGGCAAATGCATATTCAAAATGCTAGTTTTTCGCCAAGAAGCAATGTGGGAAGAGTAGTGGGGTAAAGTTGCACTACTACACATTCTTTGCTAGATCACGACTCCCCAATGCCCTCTCCCTTCAGTAAGGATGGCTCATATGATTCAAGACTGGCATCATCATAGCCACTTAGGCTAGAAACAAGGCCGCGGAAACAACCCTAACTTGGCTAGTCATAAGGATTAAGGGGCATTGACTAAGAACAAGTGACATTTTGGAAGACATATCATACTTAACAACTACAGCCTTCCCATTATACTCAGCTTTGGATATCATACCTATCTCTCCCATCTCCTTCCACTAAGGATAGCTGATATGATTCAAGACTATCATCATAGCCACCTAGGCTAGGAGTAAGGCCTAAGAACCTTATCACTTACGACCATTGGAGGATTGTGGCCTTTTGGAAGTAGAGTTAAGGGTTCAACAAGATTGCTTGGCTTGCCCCTCCTTGGGACCAACCCCAACTTGACTAGTCAAAAGGATTAAGGTGCATTGACCAAGAACATGTAACATTTTGGAAGACATATCATACCTAACAACTGGAGCCTTCCCATTATACTCTTCTCGAAATATCATACCTGCCTCAACACATCTTATGATACAGAACCCTAAAGTATGATCCACAAATGCAGCGGTGATTAAGATAACTAATTAGGGCCAACCATCTATCCAAGAGTGAGTATAAGGAAGACCCTATGCACACTAAAGGCATCGAACTTACAACCAATCTCTCTCTCTCTCTCTCCTCCTCTGTTGTTCCCCGCAATTACATTGTCCACCGTTTTCCAGGAAACCTCCAACCAGTTCAGCAGCTATAATCCACAAAAGTTTATCCCAAGCTTGATTACACAAGGTCCTCATGTTCGCCTCTTTTCATACAAATTCCTCTTTCTACTTTTACATGTTTATATGTTTTTCTCATGATTTTTATGTGCATTTTGTATGTGTTTGTGTGTTTGATATGTATATAAAATCTGCTTTCAGAATAAAAAGTACCACTTTTTGAAATATGTATGTAATAAGTGATTTCAATTTAAAGTTATAGAATTTCAGTGATAATATAATTAAGAAATGTATACATTTACACACACATAAAATAATTCAAGGATTATATTAAATTAGCATTTGAAGATTACCTCATCTGAAGACTCCAATTCTGACTCACCACTAGACAGATCAGCCGTAGGAGGCTTAGTAGCTATTGGAGGGGGCAGAGGGGGTGGCGGAGGTGGAGTTGGTACTACTACTGAAGTCGGTAGAGGTGGGGTGGGAAGTGCCATACGAAATGGAGCAGGAATATTCATTTTATTCATCAAGTGTAATACCTGCAATAGAATGAATAAATCTTTAGCAAATAGAGCCCAATATGTTTAGGGGTAAATGAATTGAGATCCATAAAATAACTATGGAAGCAGAATAAGAGAGAATATTTTTTTTCCCCAAGTCCTTGCATGAGTCCATAAATAACCTGTGTATAGAATCGAGGAACAGCAATAAGAGCATTTACAATGTTGGTAAGAATATTTCCATCTGGTGGAGGGTAAGCGTACCTGCATCACAAGCAGGTTATTTAAAAGCAAAACTGATCAATAAACATCTGTCTACAAATATGGAACAACTTTCTTCTAAAGCAGGTTATTTAAAAGCAAAACTGATCAATAAACATCTGTCTACAAATGTGGAACGACTTCCAAAGAGAAATTATCATATAACCAACTTGGGTATAACCTTTAACAAGTCAAATTGTAGCATATAATTAAGGGACATAACCTTTCAAGTTATTTTCAGTTATACATAAATATAGAAGAGGCATTGATGAAGCGCACTGTAAGGGAAGAGCAGACGAGAGAACTCTAACACAAACAACCACGGTCTAAAAAGCACAATATTTTTAATCAAAGCTAAATATTACAATGCAAAGATTCAAATTTTCATGCTAAATCACTCAAAGTTCAATTTTAGCAACAAATACACTGCTAATAATCAATGCAATAGAACGGATGTTTATAGCATAACCAACAGATATTGATACTGTAACTTCCAATAAAGAAACACTTTGTGCAGGTAAAACCTTTTAAAGCACGCAACACACTGTGAGTGCTTATACAAGGAAGTCTATCACTTCTTGTGCAACATTAGTTTAAAGCTTGCGTTCTTTTCACATAACTTTTTGAACTTAATGTCTCGCAAAAGAGACATGAGCGCACACACAATGACATAAACATTTTTTTTTATTGGCATTGGGATGTCTGGATCAAAGCCCAACTAATCCTCAAGGGTGCATAGGCCCTCAGCACTAGGGTGAAATCTTGGATGCATGCAAATAGATTTAAATACTACAAATGAAGGGGGTAGGAGGGTTAGCATATGTTCAAAAAGAGATCTCCCCTCATTTCGCATGTCTATGGTTCATGTACCAATACACACATGAGCCGAGTTTGTGTTGCACATTCACATCAACTACAAATTCCAACTAAATATGCAATGGTATAAAATTGACAAGTTTGGTCTCTATAACTTTGTTTGGCTCAATTGCACATATGACCTACCTTGAATTCCGTAATGAAACTTCACATGCCATATCCCAAATTTAGGCTCAACAATCCACTTCTATCACATGCCTAGATAGACATATCACATAACACAAATGTTGGACATGAAGGGAAAGCTCATGATAGAAATAAGTGGATGTCCCCGTTATAGCCCTACTAAATGTGAAAATTCAAAAAGGGAAAAGGAAAACATACTCAAGGTGAGGAGGAAAGGGATAGTCAACACCAAGTCTTTCAGCAATAGGTTCACTAGCAGAAAAGGACCCCAATTTGGATCCTTCATTGAGGTCTCTGTTTGGAGTAGAATCCTTCGTCAAAGATGAAGAGTGTGTCCCTGATTGACCTGCACCTTGTTGATTTTTATTATTCTCTGTTGGTTTATTAGCTCTTTCCACTGACAAGACTTTCCCCAGAAAACACAACCTGACCAACCATATTAAGAAAACAATTCTGTGACTTTTTTCATATCAGTTTAATATGAATAAGTGAAGCATATGAAAAGATCAAGAGACGGATTAAACAAAAAAAATTAAAAAAATTAAAAAATTAGATCATGATGAGATATTAAATATGCAGGAAATACTACTTAGATATACCATCAAACCGTATTGCAGTTTCATATGAATAATTGGGATACCAAATAAACGAATACCCATTTCTGGCAAAATATGATGTGAAATAAAAAACAGCACAATGAGATGTGAACAATAAATAAATAAATTAACAAAATAGGGCACAAATGAGATATAAAATAAGCAAAAAATACCCATTTAACTGACGATGTGCTTGAGACGCCAAAGCTTCACTCTTGAAGTCAACAAACGCACAGTTTCTCACCCTGTATACGACCAAAAATATGTCAAGTAAATAAACACATATTAATAGGATTAGTAAAAAAAATCACTTGAATATGCTTACTAAATGTAAAACACACATCCCCAATTCCCAAAATAAGAATGCAAAGAAAAGGTGAGTGATGCAAATCACTCTAAAAATAAAGAAGGGCAAACAAAAATTTAGCACGGGCATTGCTTAGAACTTCATCATATCATTTCTAGGCCAAATTTTAAGTCTTATTTTATATATATCTTTTTAAAACAGTTGCAGCTAGTATAGCAATGTTTTTCTTAGATTTTAGTAGTTAGGGTACCTTAGTAATTACAAGATTTGCTGGACATGGTTGCTGAAATATCACTAGGTTATATTATGGGTCAAGTTAATCATGGAGTCAATATATGTGGTCTTTATTGAAATTTGAAATCTGGAATGTTAATAATAATTATCATTTCCTAATTTCTTATTTTTGGAGTCTTAATCCTGCCAGAAGTATGGAAAATATTGCCTACATATATAATTGCAATGTGGTTAAGTTTTACAGAGTTAAGGTTGCATTTGGATGGATGAATTTGAATTGAGGTTAATATAAAAAATAAATAAATAAATAAATAAAGAGGCTTAACAATTTGGCTCTGTTTGTTTCGGCATAAAATATTTTACACTGAAAAACTGTATTTTGGTGTTTGGTTGATACTTGAAACATATTTGATTGCCTAAAAGAGAAATTTTGATTTAAAAAGTGTCATTTATGACTTTTTAGTGAGCTAAGATATTTATTTGAAAAAACTAAATGTGTTAAAAATGTAGTAAGTGAGAACTTTGCAAAATTTGACTTACGGAATTTTTAAATGTAAATCATTTTTGGGGAAATGATTGTTTAATTGAATGTAAAATATTTTTGACAAAAACATTTTACATCGAAACAAACGAAGCCTTAGTGTTGGGTAGCTAATGGTGCAAAAGGAGCTTCCAGAATAGTTTCAAATATCAAATTGGTATAGAATTTGCTGGGTATGAGCTATCAATATGACCTAGAATCAACTATGGACAAAAATGTTAGATCACCACTCATTCAAAAAGTGTGAGATTTGTTTTATAAATATGTTTGTGGTAGTCCAAATATGAAACTAAAAGTTTAGTGAACAATTTCTATGAGTAAAGTCCCTAGCTTTTAAGAAAATAAATTTGATTGAGCTCTTCAAGTCAAATTGAAAAGCAGACAAATAATTGAAAAAAAGAGTTAAAATTGAAGCAGAAAAATCATATGATAGAATTAAAATAAAATAAAAGAAAAGAAAAGAAAAAAAACCCTAAAACACAAATGAATGAATGAGATGGTTGCAATTAGAAATACCTTCCAGCAGAGAAAGGACGGACAGAGGAAGCACCATAGTGGGAGAAGAGGCGAGAAAGGGTGTCAGAAGGAATAGCTTCAGGAAGGTGACGAATCAAGAGGGTAGAAGCTGTTGTTGTTGTTGATGCTGCTGCTGCTGATTCCTCTGAAAGTTGTTCAGTGGGTACTCCTTGATATGCAACATATCCAGGAGGAGTCGTTTGAGGATTCATCAATGACGATTGCAAGGTTGGAATGGAAGCAACATACACAGACAGACAGTGAGGTATGTTGAAGGGTTGGGGGAGGGGAAGCCAATTTCACCGACTAGGCTTCGTTTGGAAAAATGTTTGAGCCCCGAAATCGTTTGGCTTGAAATTCGCTCCAACTTGAAACGACGTGGTTTTTGGTTTTTCTATCGATAACATGTAATAAAAATTTCTTACCGATAAGATATATTACAATTCTCTTAATTCAAAACGATGCCATTTTAAATTCGGACAAGTTTGAGCTCGAAAACTTTGGCCCTGTAGCAGCTCCGGCTTCGTTTGCCAGTTATGGTTGGTACAAAATCAAAGTAAAATAGATTAAATAAGTTAAGACGGTGAAATGTGACATTTAAATTATGATTATTTTTTTTAATGTTAAAATTAAAAAAAAATTATCAAACGATTTTTTTAATTTCAAATTAAAAAAGTCACAACCTAAAAAAAAAAATTAATCAAAGTAAGACACTGCCAAAACTTTATTTTCATTTTAGGTTGGTTTTTTTTTTTTTTATATTATAAGATAAATTGATTTTTGTAAAACCATTTTTTGGAAAATAGTTTTTTAAAAGTCATTATCTACCTTACAAAATTGATTAAAATAATAATAAAAATTTAATACAGAAGTGGGCTTTTGAAAAATTAATTTTAATTAAATTATCTTTGAAACTTAATTAATTAATTTTTTTTATAAATACATTTTTACACTAATTTTTTTTAAAATTAATTTTCAATATAAATATTTTTTTTAGCAAAAATATTTTTTATACAAAAAATCGTTTTCTAAAGACATCTTTACAAAGACCGTATAAAACGATTTTATGAAACTCGTTTTTTACTTTCTTTTTTTTTTCATTTGTTTTGGATTTCAAGTGACCCACATTTTTAAAATTAGGGTTTTAATTTTGATTGAGAATATGTGTACCTAACATTGGTAAACAATTTGATAACTATAGAATGAGATGATGAATATTAACAGTACAATGTGGCATTGGAACTTTGACAAATGCTCAAAACTGCAGCAAATATCTCATGAATAGAGTAAAATATGCACATATACATAATTTTTATAATCAGTGGTTCAATGTGTTTGTTTGGCAGAACTTAAAAGTAGCTTATTTCAGCATTCAGCTTAATTTAAGCTATTTTGATGTGTTTGGTTTAGCTTATAACTTCTACCTTATAGCTTTTTGGAAGTCAGAAATCAGCTTATTCTTTGAGTGGGACAGAAGATACTTAATTTATAAGTCAGAAATCAGCTTATGTTCATAGTTATAAGATATAAGCTGTTTAGGCATAAGGTATAAGTACTTTCCCACAGCTCTACCAAACAGGGCCAATATTTGATTGGTATGTGATAATTGAAATGAGAACAAAACAAAACCCAATCAAACAGACCAAGAATGTTCCGTTCAGCACATTAAAGGATATTTAATAAGCATAATTACATTCCCTTGATTCATTGATGGTTCTTATTCATTTTATATTTGTAAAATTTCCCTTGCATTGCATTGACTTACTCATGTAAAATGTGCTTTGTGCGTGTCAATGTATGGGTTTCTCCATCCATATTTTTTGTTTTTGAAATGATGAATTAGCATTTGGATCTTCTAGCTGTGCAATTACTATTTTTTTTTCTTATATTTGGTTCTTATTGGAAGTTTCTTCTTTTATTGAGTTAAACTTTTCTCATTGGATACATTGTTTTGTTTTGTTTTATTTATTTATTTATTTATTTTGTAATTGTGTAGTCCAATTTTTGTTAGTTTGTTAGTATAGAAAGTGATGAAATATTTTATGAAGTCTATCCTTATATACGATTAGGTTTTAAACTTAAGATTAGCTAAAAGCTCCTCATTTTTTTTTCTTGTGATTTTTACCTTTGAAATGCGTCGCCCCCCCTCCCCGGTTGTGAGATTAAGATCTAAATAACAATGTTGTGGTATTGGGATTTGATGATATCAGCTTCCATACATGGTGCTCACTTGAAATATCTTATATTAATTTGTATCAGACATTGTAATCACATCCTAGCCTATTACTCAAATGTTATATAGTTCTTCTTTAAAATACTAACAATTCAATCATCTAAATCAAATTTTCATATGTTCTTTGTTTGTGATTTTGAAAAAAAATGAGTTATTTTGAATGTCAAGGTTAGGTATGGAAGTTGTGGGCATTATATTCTATTGAGAGGAAAACATTTTGCGAAATTCCCAGGAAGGTGTGCCATACCACACCGAAGCCAAGGGTTGTATAATGTGAAAAGGGGGATAACATTGGGCGAGCTGGAGGCTATGATGGTGCCCAAAATCGCTAGGTATGGGAAAAATATGCAATTGAAGATTAAATGTAGACTCCCATGTAGAAGGATGTTAGTAATGGGCGCCCATGTGGCATGACCATTAAATTTGATTTTGAATCCTTATCCAAATAGGTTTTGATTTTGAAATCAAACCTATTTAGGATAACCACTCTTGAAACAGACGTTATCAGTTTGAACTGATATAGATAGATATAATATATATTAGATATTATCTGTATCTTAACTGATATGGATAGATATTATAATATATTAAATATTTGTTATATGGTTATGGGTAATCCAAGAGAAACAACGTTGAGTCTGTTTCAACCCATACACTGACTCTCTCCCAAAAACACAACGATCAAGTCTTTGACACTGTGGTTAGTGTGGGTGATATTCAATCTGTGAAAAAAATGAGTTATTTTGAATGTCAAGGTTAGGTATGGAAGTTGTGGGCATTATATTCTATTGGGGGGAAAACATTTTGCGAAATTCCCAGGAAGGTGTGCCATACCACGCCGAAGCCAAGGGTTGTATAATGTGCAAAGGGGGATAACATTGGGCGAGCTGGAGGCTATGATGGTGCCCAAGATTGCTAGGTATGGGAAAAATGTGCAATTGAAGATTAAATGTAGACTCCCAAGTAGAAGGAAGTATATGTTGTTGCCAATCAACAATAATGAGACCTTAACTAATGTTTTGGATCTCCCAAAAAAATTAGGGGACGAATTTTCTTTTTTGAAAATTTATGTGGAAAAGGAGAGCATTTTTGAGAAACAGGATCTTGTCCATCTCAAGTTTCAAAAAGAAGGTGACAAATGCTTGGTTTTTGGTGCAGTGGTCTCTTCCAAACTCTGTCCTGAAATCAGGTCAAGGTTAGCTAGGGGTGGTCTGCTTTTATTTGTGTGGTTATTGACTGGGTGTTAATTGCAAGTCTCTTTGGTTGGTGTGCTAGTCCTTTATTTAGGGATGTGCGTTGAGTGTATGTGAGGTTACTCCATAAATGATTGAGTGAGATTGTGAGTTTGTGGGTTGAGTGACTGTAGCAATTTAAACTTTATCTCACAGTTTGTTATGCAGGTTTTTAGCTGGCCCTTGTTGTGTAAGGAAGTTGGGTTGAGTGTTGGTGAGTTCCTATATTATGACTGTGTGTGAGAAGGGTTTTTTGTGCTATTGTGGGTTGAGTGTGGTGAGAACCAATAATTAACTAATTATCTTTGGTGTAGGTACTCAGCTGGTCCAGTTTAGGGGAGCTATCTTTGTGGTTAAGTGATTGAGGCATATATTGTTGAATAGTTTCTGTGTTGTTTCTCATACATTATAGTTAACTGTTGTGTGTAGTGTTTGAGTGTACTTGAGTGTTGAGTGAAGGCTAGCAGTATCATGTGAGCTTTTGCAGTTAACTATTGTTGAATTGTCATATTTAACTATTGTTGAATTGTCATATTGATTTGGTGATTGCTTGGCTCTCTTAGGATCATTTGACTGAATGATGGCCTCGAGCAAGTAGCCCAGTTTGGTTGATCTTGTCCCAATTTGTTGAATGTTGAAGCTCCTGGGTGGCGTTGCTATTGTCTTTTCTACTATTTTGGAGTTTTGGCAAGCCAACTGCTGTGGTTCTAGCAGTTGCTGCTGCTTGCTGGTGCTGTTTGTCTATTGTGGCCTGTCTGCTGTGTGTTGTTGCTGCCATTTTGCTGATGCTTTTTTTTTTTTTTTTTTTTTTTTTTTTTTTTTTATGTTACATGATATCTAGAAGGCTATGGTGTTTGTTTTATAGTTTGAATTTTAATATATTAGTTTATTTGTGATGGGCTCTATTGGTTATCTTGTAATCTTAGGTCTTGTTTTGGCTTTGTACATGGCTTTATTGTGTTAGTAGGTTTTCTTTTGAGTTATTTGGAATCTGATTTGTGGTTCAACAATCTCCAAGCCTTTCCTATGGTGTAGTTTTGTGTTGGCCTTGTTCTTGCCCCTCATTTGCTCTTGTTGCTCATGTGGTATTTGAACAACTTTTTGTCTTGTTGTTGCTTTGGTTTGTTATTGTCTGTATCTTGTATAGTTGGTTAGCTTCTGAGGCATGCCTCTTGTTGTTTGAATTTATTTGTCTTTTTAATTTATGACTTATTCACCAAAAAAAAAAAAAAAATTCCAGTGGGAGGGTCATTCACTCAAATGTTAACACAGTCGCAATCCCCTGAAAATGCACTTGTATAGTCTTCACAAGCGTTCCATCAAGATTACACTCCATTCAATTCTTTGTAGAATTACACTCAATTCAATTCATCATAGAGCCTGGATGGTTATTACAGTGCAAGGCTCAACACTCATACAACCTCATCTGCACACTGGACCCAAGAATGTCCACCGTTTTTTAATGTTGAACATACAAGAGAGATGACTGTTCAAATTTATGCAACCTCCAATGATACAGTGTCGAGTCTTGGTTTTGATGTTGAGCTTGGAGTAAATGATAGAGATTTTGTAGAAGATTTCGATGCAGCGATGTGAGGTGAAGAAAATGATTCGGTTGATGATGAAGTCAAAGGGCACAATGATATCCACGAGCTACACCCAGATATCCCTTTCTACCATAATATTCATCTCGACAATGATGGTTCCATCACAATCCACGATGTTGTTGAACGATGGCCATTTTGGGACTTCAAAACTGTTGAATTGGAGCAATGAATGATTTTCAGCGATAAAAAAAGCTTGGTGCACGTTGTTTATTTGCATAACCTAAAGCACAATCGAGAATGCAAGGTTGTAGAATCACAAGGAAAAACTTAGGTGTCCAAGTGCAAGCACGG